ACACACACACACACACACACACACACACACACACACACACACACACACACACACACACACACACTGAAAAAAGAAACAAAAAACTGAATGTCACTTGCATGCCTTACCAACTGACCTAGGCCACTGAAGAAAGGAAAAAATAAGTGAGCTAGTCGAAGCCAAACGAAAAAGAACAAAAACAAAGGAGCAGACGTTCTTTTTTCTTAATTTCTCCCCTTCTTTTATCATAAAGGGGCCCGGTACTCAAGGCTTACATCAATCAAAATCCTCCAGATTCAGGCCCCAATTAGCTCAAACCCGACACCCCAAGGCAGAGCCTCTCCCCTGTGGCAAATAACCCCAAAAACAACAAAAATCGAAATACCTACAAGCTTAAACCACTACTACCTCTGCCAGTGTTGGGAAATTACAATATTTCGGTCTGTCCCAGAAGAAATTGGGAGTCCCAGCCGGCTCGGCATCGATTCCCAACATGGAAAAATATCGATTTTTTTTTACGCACCGGACCCGTGTTCTTTCCTTGAAGGTGGACGGTTTTTTTGCCGGTTTTTTTGGCAAACAAAAAAAAAAGCAAGAAAAAAACATCGCAGAAAGTCCTAAAATACCGGGAAACCGAAAATATCAACTTTGGACTGACTGGCCCAGGTAATTCCGAATTATTTTACTCTGTTTATCTGATTGCAAATGGATTTGAAGTTGGGTCTGTATTTCAACACTTCGGGGGTGTACAAATTGAGCTAGGCTAGGCTCGTTGGTGCAACCCAAATTATCAAGCTAACGACATGTTCTTACTCATGCCTTTTCTAACCCTAAGAGCTGAACGGAATAAATAATGTTAGGGGTTATCTTATGAAGATTAAAAACAAGGGAGAAAGAAAGGGGAAAAGAAAAAGATGAAAGAAAAGAACAGAAAAAACAGGAAAAAAGAAAGAAAAAGAAAAAAGGTGCTATCAGACTTCAAGTTAGGCCGTTCTCACACAGCACTATCTTAAAACTATCTTACCGCATTTACGGCGGCACCTGGATGCATCTTTTTTTTTTGAGAAAACTACGGCGCAGTCAGGGTTACAGTTTGTAATTGCATTTGGAACTGCGTTCTAGCAGTTTAGTCAGGGCCTGAGTTTCAATTGCATTTGAAAGTTGAAACTGCGTTTTAGCAGTTTGAAACTCGGGCTGGCTTTATCTAGCAGTTCAGTCAGGCGCATGGCAGTTTCTTTCTTTCTTCGTTTTTTTTTTTTTTTTTCCTTTTATCTGCTGTTCGTGTATAGACGAGGGCCCTGACTGAACTGCGCAGCCCGAGTTTCAACTGCAATTGCAACTCGGGCCCTGACTAAAGACAACAGAGGGAGGCAAGCCTACTGTGGGCTGCAGCAGAAGAAGAGTGTCCAAAATGATATGATTGATGGGGGGCAACATCAAGCTTGTCATTCTGGATAGTGTCCAGGATATCATCCGATTATAAATGGCAGGTCCATCCGTAACCCTAAGACAAAAAGCGGTGAAGAAGTGTAAATGTTACATACTCGTGAATGTATCAACGAGTATGGGGCAGAACCAAAGATCAACCAATATAGGATGAGCATGTATGCAGCGGAAGTCTGATAAACGGACTGACTCACACAGATATCACTCCACACACATACAATCGTGAGATGGTGGGGTCTGAGCCATGCATAGACGATGCTCAGGCCCCGTACACGCATACACAGATGAAAGGTGGGAGGAGAGACGAAGGAGGTGGGAGATGTAGGTAGCACCAGATGTCACCGAGATCGAAACCAATAGGTCACCGATATGGTAATCCAAAATGTCATCGAACAAGATCAAATGTCGCGGATAATAAGTCACCAATGTCGGAGATACAGAGTCCTAATGTAACCGGTGTCCAATCTGTGATGCAGCCGAGTATCATCCCCAACAATCTCCAAGTCTCGAACCTGGTAAGTACCACAGCCTCTTACCACCGAAGTCCAACACTGATCTCTGTCCAACTAGTATCAAGTATCCAGTCTGAAGAAGAAGAAGAAGAAGAAGAAGAAGAAGAGGAAGAAGAAGAAGAAGAAGAAGAAGAAGAAGAAGAAGAAGAAGAAGAAGAAGAGATGAAGAAGAAGAGATGGCAGAGGATGAGGAGATGAGGAGGGGATAGCCGGTAGCCGTGGAGGGAGAAGAAAACTTCTCGCCTCCTGATACCTGGCTGTGCTGCAGTCCGACTGCAGGTCGTGGCTATGGCCGCCGTACTGCTGAGGGCTGCTGCCTCGCTCCTGCGCTAAGAATAGCGCTGCTGCCTCAACCGATACGCACCAGCGTTATGCCGGTGGCTCGATGCCTCGAAGTGAGGCCGGACCGATTTTTATTACCGGTGGGGCAGAGGCCGGCCTCAATGCTGCGAGGCCTGGCCGTGCCCTGAACCGTCGAGATTGACGGTTCAGCCCCAACCGGCGGGCGGCAGCCTCAAGAGCACCGCCAGGCCCAAACAGTAATGTCGTTTGGGCCTGCCCGTCGGGTCTGGTCCAAGTCGTGGCCTTTCGGCCTGATAATCCCCCAAGGTCGGGGCTTTAGGCCCTAATGTGTCCCTCTAGCCCTAAGTCGGGTCCGGTAGGACCCGTGTGGCATCGAAGATGTAACACACTCCCCCTCTTAAAAGACCGAGCTACTTGCGAGGGCGGAGTTGTCTGTCCGATACCGGGATGGGTCGGGTCGGACGGACGAGCTGCTTCCTTGGCAAGGCGTCGCTTCTCATAGTCGGCGAAGATGAGGGGTGCAGAAGTCTGCAAGTCTGCACTAGAGATCCACCGAGTGTCGTCAGGCGCACATTGCTTGAATGTGACTTTGAACTGCATTTGCTTGTTGGCATACTTGCGGTGCGTGATGACTCGGTCAACTTCCTGATGTCCGTCCATAGAAGGCGGATCTTGTGATCGACGGCCGGGAAACTCGTCGGTGGAAGGTGGCGTGTAGATGGCCCGCTTCGACGCGTGGAAGACCCGGTGCACAGGAAGGTGCGGGGGAATGTTGACCACAAAGAAAGGACCTGCGGGGTCGTCTCCAACGACAGAAGTGACTTCCCATGGTCCGAACCATTTCGGAAGTAGTTTGTGCGAAACGTCCTGCTCGAGCGCAAATTCCTCGGAGTGGACCCAAACAAGGTCTCCCTCGCGGAAAGGACATGGAAGTCGACGTCGGTTAGCCTGCTGCTGCATGCGGATCTGAGCCTTTTGCATATTCGCGCGTGCTTTGATCAGCAAGTCCCGGTTTCCGAACGGAAGCGGGAGAGCAAGGGACGTCTATGTCGGCGGCCTGTGGCAGAAGGAGATCAGCGAAGATCCGTGCTTTCTCTCCAGCATGATGTAGCTCGAATGGTGTGACACAGATCGCCGGATGCACCGAAGTGTTGTAGGCGAACTCAATGTCGGGAAGCCGGTCAACCCAATCTTTCTGGTCGGGACGGATGAGCGTACGCAACATCATCTGAGCGATCTGGTGTGCTCACTCCGTCTGAACATCCGTCTGCGGGTGCCGAGCCGAGGTCGGCTTCATTGTCGTGCCGGACTCAGCCATAAGGGAAGTCTAAAAGGCCGACATGAAGCGAGTATCTCGGTCGCTCACTATGTCTTCCGGAACACCCTGGTTGGTAATCCAACCGGTGTGCAAGAGTCGTGTGAGCTCGGGTGTTGCAACATGATACTTGCAAGGAAGAAAGCGAGCATATTTGCTCAAACGGTCAACGGCCGTGAGAATACCGTCATGGCCATGGCGATCGCGGGGGAACGGGCCTGTCACGTCCATAGCAATGGAGAGGCGCGGTGCCCGAGGAATCGGCAATGGTTTCAGTTCGCCGAAGGGGACTCAAGATCGACCCTTGTTACGGTGGCAAACTGCACATGACTCAATGTACCTCGTGACGTCATGAAGGACGTCAGGCCAGTGAAAACGTTGGCGGAGCCGTGCTAATGTGCAGTTCACGCCAAGGTGTGCCGAAAGTCGTGCGTCGTGGAATTCGTCGAGAAGACGAGTCCGTAAGATGCGATCTTGGGGCACAACTAACAAGTCCTTTCCTCTCGTGTGAAGGAGAAGGAACCCGTCGGAAATCCGATAGTGGCTAGCCGGCGGGTGATCTGATGAAAGCTCTGCGTAAAGTGTAGAGTAAGTCGGATCGGACTTGTAGCCTTTGACGAAATGCTGCTGCAGATCGTCATCGAGGTCGAATGCCTTGTTCACAATGGCACAAAAATCGGGCCGTCGTGAGAGGGCATTCGCAGCTCGATTGGCGGGACCAGGAATGTGGCACGGGTCAAAGTCGAACTGGTCGATGTAATACATCCATCGACCGATCGTACTAGTGACCGTGTCCTGCGTTTTGTAAAATGTCAACGGATTGTTATCCGTATTCCATTTAAAACGCCGACGACCGAGAAGAAAGTGGCGCCACCGTTTGAGAACGGTGACGAACGCGAGTAGCTCTTTCTTCCTAGCGCCGTCGAGAGTGTTGACGAGAGACACCTTTTGGGAGAAATACTCGACCGGATGCCAACCGTCCTCGTGACACTGTTCCAACACCGCACCAATACCGTATCCCGAAGCGTCCGTAGTCACTTGGGTGGGAATGGTGGGGTCGTATATACGGAGGGCAGGTGCGGCTTGCATTGCTGCCTTCAATGTAGTGAACGTGCCACGGGCTGCGTCGTCGAACTCGAAGGGCACCTTCGGGGACTGAAGTCTCGACAAAGGAGCGGCCACTTTCGAGTATGACTCGACGAATCGCTGATAATATCCAGCCAAACCCATGAAAGAGCGTACATCCGTCGTGCAACGGGGTTCCGTCCAATCCACGATGGCTTGGATCTTGTCTGCTAAGGGACGAATGCCTTTCGGCGTGACAAAATGACCCAAGAACTCAAGCTCCTGCTTGGCGAACTCACACTTGTCGAGATTCGCTTTGTATTTGGCTAGTCGCAAACGATCCAAAACAGCTCGAAGGTGTACGATGTGCTCGTCCAACGTCCTACTATAAACCAAGATGTCATCAAGGTAGATGAGGACGCTGCGATCGAGCAAGTCGCGAAACTCAGTCGTCATAGCTGCTTGGAAAGTCGCGGGGGCATTGGTGAGGCCAAATGGCATGACGACCCACTCAAAATGCCCGTACCGCGTCTTGAACGCGATCTTGTACCGATCTTGAGGCAGGATTTCAATCTGGTGGTAACCCGACTTCAAGTCCAACTTCGAGAAGTACGTTGCGCCGCCTAACCGCTCAAGGAGATCATCAATTCGAGGGAGAGGGCCGGCGTTCTTTACGGTTTGTGCGTTAAGTTTGCGATAATCGATGCATAACTGTAGATCTTTGTTCTTCTTCCGGACGAAGAGAACAGGGGCACCGTAAGGTGAATAACTAGGGCGAATCCAGCCCTTGTCGAGAAGATCATCGAGTTGTGCGTGGAGCACCTCGAGTTCCTCTTTGCTCATGCGGTAGATGCATCCACGCGGAGGAATGGCGCCAGCCTCGAGAGTGATCCCGTGACGTATGGGCTGATCCGGAACCGTTCCGGTCGGAGCCTCGAAGACGTCTCTATACTCGTCCAAGAGGTGAGAAATGCGTGGGTCCGGCGGTGACGCGGCTGGTCCGTCCGACGAGGGGAGAGCATGCAAGAATACAAGACCCATCTCCTCAACCTCATTCTGAGCTATGGCGTCGCGAACTCTCGCAACGGAAACCATGTGACAAGCAGTCGAAGTGTGAGGGGTCGCGACCGTACATGGGACTAACACTTCGTTCCGATCACGGATGTGAACGGTTCGGTCATGAAAGTTCACCGGATGATCGGCGCTACGCAACCAAGACATGCCTAGAATCATGTCGAACTTGGTGTCGAGGATGTCAAAAGACACCGGCTCGCACGCAAGTGGCGCAAAGTATATCGGATCGCCGTCGACGCATCTGTCAATCGACTTTTGCGTGCGGCCGTCCGCGAGTGTAACTTGGTCGGGATGCGTCTTCCTTCGAACGCGCGGGCCATATGGGCTTGGCTCATAAAGTTGCGAGACGCTCCGCAATCAATCAAGGCACTACAGGTTGCCTTTCCGATTTGAATGCGGATATAGAGCAAAGGAGCGTCGGTTTCGGCGTACCTTTGGGTGGCGTACTCGCGGTCAATCTTCACAAGATAGGAGTGGAGATCTACAACCGCTACCCCGTCGTCCGTCAACGGAGCTGGTACTGTAGTGTGCAAATAGGAGCGTAGATTTGCCATCAAGGCATTGCAATGCGGCCTTGGCAAGGTTCCGGTCGAGGGTAGAGGCATCCAAGCGAAGTCCTTTCTCGTGAGCAGGTCAAGCTCCTCAAGTCTTGACCACGCCATCGAGTCCTCGGAAATCAGTGGCGAACTGACTGGATCACTTGCCGACGGTGTACAGGCTGCGCATACGCAATCTAAGTGCACGTGGCTCGACTGGTCTAGTGGTGGTACCAGCTGGGCGACATAATCCTCGTACGTAGCACGAGAATCAGCGACTAACGCATGCTCCCCTATAGTGACATCGATTGCTAGCAAGGCAACCGGGTCCGGCGGAGTGAGGAGAGACGTCGCCCCTCTCCTTGCGTAACTCAGTTTCCCGAGTTTGCTGGACAGGGTACGCGTCGTGCCTTGCCCTTTTCGGGGCATTGTGCGGTCAAGTGAGTGACTCCATTGCACCAAAGGCAATATCCGTACTTTTGACGAAGGTCATAGATTTCCTTGGTTATCTTGTATGTCGTCCATGACTGCTGCCCAGTTCCCGTCGATGCCGTCTCTTGTGTCTCCTTGTTCTTCCGAACTCTCTTGGGACGCTTCGGCGGGAGCGCTGCTACAATTCCTCCATCATTTGAGGTCCGAGGATGCTGCTGCAGCGTGGAGATCGACTGTTTCTTCAGAAATCACGACATTGTTATGTGCGGGTCGTTGATAGTCCTGCTTAGCCACATAATGCGGCTGGGACTGCCGTTCGTTTGCGGCCTTGTCATCCGTTTGGATGACCAAGTTCGCACGATCGAGGATGGCCTGGAATGAGGCGTAATCGTACTCGTTGCCGAGTGCGGTTCGCAGTCCTGCGCACGATCGCGAGAAGAACTCGGATCGTTGATTTGTAAAACTCAAATCAAAATCTGGCATGGTCACTATCTTTTGCCACTTGGTTGTCCAGTTTCTAGTTGGCGTACTCCCTTGAGAGCAGGTGTACACCTCGTTCATGGCCGCCTTCACGACGTTGCGGACCATGAACCGAGTGAACCATAGCTTCTCGAACTCTTTCCACGTGATGTGCGTGTGGAGTTCGGCGATGGTGCATTTCTTGGTAGCCGCCAGATGGTTCATCCATGCCTGCGCTCCTCCAAGGCATGTTCTTTGTGCCTACGGGCCCGGCGTGCATCACATGAATTCCGTAGCCAATCCAGGCTGGAGAGGCACTTTCGGCCAGTCCCATCCCCAACCACGGACCTCCCACAGTGAAGACGCCTGTCTTCAGCCCATCCCGTTCAGAACTGTAGTTGCAAAGCCTCATCTATGTTAATACTTAGAATTAAATCCTATTCCAATGCATCGACTTATTCTATATTATCAAAAACAATCACACAAATTTCTAACGCATTCCCTGATACAATTACCGTAATAATCCCTAACCCTAAATTATTTACAAAACAGAAACTGTAATCATGACTAATACTCAACACAAAATGAATTCNCCAACACGGGGGATTTCAGTTTCGTCTGTGTCCCCACACTCAATTTCCAAAAATCCTTGGCACACCCCATCTTGCTGTTTTTCTGGGCCTCTTTTCCTCACAGCTAACACTCCGAATGAAAGACAGCACAGGGCGCGAGGTTGCGCGCCACAGACGCGAGGTTGGAGCACGGGCAATTACCCGTACTGACGTTCAGTGCATTGAATCTTCACTCCATACAAATCTAACAGACCCTTGCCCGACCTACTCCCAGTTATGTCAAAAATGCAAGTTTGAGAACACTGTCGTTAGCCACAAAATTGTCATTATAATGATAACGGCGATGGCCAGGTAGCAGAGAGATCGGGCGGGGGCGGTAGCGCCTTCGTCCGATGTCCCTGGTTGCCGGCGACCAGCCTTTGTGAGCGGAGACCACGGACACGTGGCACCTGCGTGCGAGAGGGGAGAGAGAGAGGAACCGACAACAACCCCCAGCGCTCACTCGTAGCGTAGGGATCGGCGAGGGTGGGGAAGCAAATGGCATCAACACAATTATGCACGCAGGCTGACGCATGAACTCCAACGACTCCCAAGCGTTGCGCCTTCATGCGCGTCACAACCACAAAACCATTCCACATTCACAACTCATACATCTTGGAAAACGAAGCATTCAACATCCATAAACACGCATCACGAAAGCCATGCATGCGACTGAGTACCCACACTTAGTCTATTGCACACACGACGCTTGGACAAAGCAGCAATGGAGAAAAGAGCGTGTCCTTCACTATTCAAAATCACAAAAGTGCTGGCCTCCATCAGGCACAGCCACCCACCACACTCAAACGCCAACCATCCGTAGCCACAAGGCCCTGAACTCCACCACTGCTAAGTCCCTCCGACTGCCTCACTCCGAGTCTACCGCTAAACCCACATCACGCCATCACTTCGCCCGTCGCTTGGGCTCGTCAAGCCTGTTCGGCAGCTGCGGGCTTCGCACATAGCGTGTGCAGCATTGCAGCCGAGATCAAAGAGGGGAAGAGGAAGGTGCTGTGGAAATTTATAGCGCGGAAGGCGGTGGGGCACCAGCGTGCAGTGCGGGTAGCAAGGGGCTTACACAAGCAGGGCAGAGGAAGGAGGAAGGATGGACAAAGGCGGGACGATCAAAAATTTGGCACACTTGGGGTGGTCACTCAGGTCGCGTGTGTAAGTCCGCTCGCGGCTTGATCCGACCATCCCAACTGACGACCAATCAATTGTGTCGTTGTGGGGTTTGGGTTTAAGAGGTACAGGTGCCACAGCTCGGTGCTGAGTGAAAAGAGGCCGGATCTGCTACAACCTTGGTTTACAGACATCCACGGCTCTCGAGCCCATACATGTACAGGTGTGAACGCTGGGTACACAGAGTCAACATATAGACATGGCACGGGAGGAACACAGCTGCTGCACAATGCTTTTAATGGCGGCGACTCAATTGGTTGTAGGGTCTGGGTTTAAGAAGCACTGCGAGGGGAAAAGGGCCTAAGGATTATGGCCTTCAATAGTGACTGTGGCCCTGCATCACTGGTGCCACAGCTTGTTGCTAAGTGAACAGAAGCTGGAACTGCTACATTCTTGGTTTACAGACATTCATGGCTCTCGAGCCCACACATATACAGGTGTAAACGCTGGGTACACAGAGCCAACACATACACATGCAATAGGGGAGCTGCAGAAGGGGCTGGGGCAAGAGTTGAGAGGCGCCCTTGTTATGGGATGGGAATAATTAGGCAGCTCCAAGGGACAATGGAGCCCGGGACTGAGAACTGAAACGACCACAGCCCCTGACAACACTCTCGGAACTACATGATGTATCAATGGGACGCTGGACCCGGTTTCCTGCAGGTGCCGCTCCATACCAATAGACGGAGCAGCCCAACAGGTAAGCCCTCAATTCCGGCGGTTCTCTTACCACCGCTGGGATAGAGGGATATCAAAAGGGCTTTTTCTTTCTTTTTCTTTTTTTTTTTTTTTAAAAAAAAGAGAGGGGAGAGAGGAAGATCAGGCAAGGCTTAGAGGACGACGAAGAGTCATGCAAGGACTAAAGCAAGCAAGAATGGAAGGTGGCATGTGCGTGCGAAGTAGGAAGCAAGTTTGCATCGCAAGCAAGAAAGGTCGCATGCACACTAATTGCGAAAAGATTGAAAATATGGACAACCAAAATTCATAATAGTTTCTTGAGTTCTCCCACGCGGTCGCTAATCGTCTACGCAGGACTAATTTGGATGAGGACAGGGCAATTCCAAAAGATGCATACACCCAATCCAAAAGTTAAAATGTGGACCCCGTTTCCTGTAATCAGCTAAGATCCGTACTTCGGTGCTTACTTTGGGTTTTCATCCAAAGGGTACCCGAAACCGCGAGGCACGGAGCTTAGCTTACCACAAACCAGGCCTCTCTACAACACGATTTTAGTTTCCCTCCCCCTCCGATGGCGAGTAGTGCACTAGGCCCTTAGCACCTCGCCAGTGTCACACCACCATCAAAATGGAACTGTTCTCTATGGCTGTCAGACTACGAGACCCCCCCGGCCGCGATCGCCAGTTACGACCACGGGCTGCAGTAATGGCTGCGGTCCCGCGGTCATGACTGCAGCCCCAATGATTATTTTTTGGGGAAAGTACGCGGAAGTCACCAAAATGAGTTAGAACTGCACTAACGGCCAAGATACAGTTCCAAATTGCAGTTCAGGGCCTTCAGGCAATGTATACAACCCAGCTTTCTGGCCAGGTAGGGTGCCCGAAGTGCAATTGCAAACTGTATCTTGCTCCATAGTGCAATTATAACTCGTTTTTTGTGACTCCACTGAAGTCACCCTTTAATTGATTGATTGATTGATTGATTGATTGGTGGGGGAGGGGTCCTCCCTTCCCCCCTCCGGCACACACACACACACACACACACACACACACATACACACACT